TCCACCCACCTCACCACCACAGTCAAGCTGTACCGCCTGGTTATCTGCCCCTGGCTCCCTGTGACATCCTCCTAAATGGTCTTCCCCAACCTCCACTCGCATTCTCTGCAATCTGTCTCCGTACTGTAGCTCTACACGTCTTCTTGAAGTAAAAAAAAACACATCCCGTCATTCCTCTGCATAAAACAAAAAGGCTTCCCTTCTACTCCTTGGAATAAAATCCAGACTCTTACCAACCCTGGCCTTTAAGGTGCTACTGTATGGCCTGGCCCCTACCTCCCTTCGACCCCACCTCCTGCCACTTGCTCCCTGGGCTCCACGCACACTGGCCCTTCTGGTCTGCAGACACCAAGCTCATTTCTGCTTTAGAACCTTTGCACTGGCTGTTCCCTCTGCCTAAAATGCTCCATCCTCCCATCCTTGCACAGCCAGCTCCTATGTGTCACCCAAATCTCCAGCCAGAGCCACTTACTCCCTGTGGCTTTCTCTTACAACCTACTCTTTCTTTGGACCCTCGCCCCACTCCAGTCATTCACCAAGACCTCTGAAATAAGCATGCTCACTGACATAGATAAATCTATCTCTTAAAAATAACAAGATGCATCACATTGCAATAGTTATATATTTGTAAATGTTCCAAATTCACCAAACTGTCAAATCCAATTAAATATTTGCTGACTACCTTCTATGAATAAGGCAGTGGGGAAATGAGATGGTCCTACCCTAACCTCCTTAAATAAAACTTCAACTCTTGGCCTGGTCGTAATGATGACAATACTCTAAAGGAACTGCCAGAAATTCGGTAAGGACTCTTAAGATGGTCTCTCTCAGTTCAGCACTGCTCTAATTACATTTTTATACACATGTAGTCTATAGGATGTGAAATCCCAAATAAGGGCTCACCTGTAAATGTCTACAGGGTGTTTGAGTCCTAGGCTTGAGGATAACTTTGGTACCCCCCCCCACTGCCCCCCGGCACTGTGTGCTCTCTCTCCACGTATCCTTGTAATCCATTCCTTCAACCATCTTTCTAGCACAAGCTGTTCTCATTGTTCACAGCTTAAAACAGGACTGCTCCATTTGTTCCATATGGCCTCATTATGACCCCACTTCTATGCTTTCTTTCTGCCTCCGAAGGGAACAGAATGTACTCCCAGCCACGATTGTCCTTAAAGAGATACAATTGGGGACAGCACTCACCTGGCTTTCCTCCTGGCAAGCAGTTAAACACACAGCTACAAGGTGACTGACTGGTCAATAGGGGGTACAACTCTGTGGCCACGGAACAGAGAAAAGACCCACAAGGTTCTGCTTCTTCATCTCAAAAATGAGCAAATTTCACAAGATGATCCCAAAAGTCCTTCCAAGCTCAGAGAGGAGCCCCACCCGCAGCCCCAGCAGGAGAGGGGTTCCTGAGCCCCCACACTTTCCCCATCCAGGGATCAACCAAGCCTCTCAAGGACTTCAAGTTCCTAAGGCACAAGCCACCGACTCCAAATGAGGACGACAAAACTCACCATTTGGTTCACTCAAGGCCATGACAACAGGAGTAGACTGAGGAAACATCACCACACCAGTAACCCTCCACCAAAACAAAACCAGCGCTTTCCCAGCTGGTGAAGAACGTGCCACAGCCAGGCTTTCGGCAACTCCTTTTGCCCCGTTTAGTTTTCATACTGAAGCGAAAAGCCTGCCCTGCTTATACCTCAAATATAAGAAAGTCATTTTGGAAATGGAATTATATGGCTCTCTCAGAGGAAAAAAATATAGTTAAGAATTGTTAAAGAGCAGCAGTGTGAACAGGTGAGGGAGCCACTAAGGACACCATCCCCCACCTCCACCCACGATGTCTTTTGTCCTGGCCACACAGACCCCGACAATCCCACCACAGTCTTGGCTTTGCCTTTAAGTCACCCCTGTCTTGCCCAGAACACTCTGCAGAGACGCTTTCCTGTTGCAAAGACGGGGAGCAGGTGACCTCATTTCTTAATAACTGGGCTTAGCTCAGCTCACCCCGGGGCAGAGCGTGGGTTTCAGAGACTGCCAGCCAACACTCCCTCTTTGCCACCTCTTCCCCACACGACCCTGTGGACAATCCCATTCTCCCAGCCTGATTAACCTGATCGATATTTTTTCAGGTTCAAGAAACAAGAAATTCAATACATATGCCTCACACATAGGGTGAAGAAAGAAACAAACAAATGTTTCATTGATGTATAACTTCAATTACTCACACACGCTTGTGTCTCTTGTGTTGTAATAAAGATGCCAGATAAATCCTTGCTATGTGACAATTTAAATCCGGCTTCAAATACAAATATATATTAAGTACTAACATACTTGTCATGTGCAAGAACAAAGAAATTTGTATTATAATATCCCAGTGCCATGTGTGCACTGAGTTTTTACTCTGGCAAGATTAGGAAGTGTTTTGATGAAGGGTGTGTCTATATAAGAGACAAATCCAGGGACATCCCAAGGATTGCAAAAATTTATTTTTGTTCACAAAAACAGATACTCTTAACTTTATAAGAAAAGTGAAATATTCTAGTTCATTTTAAGCAAGTCAGGATGCCTCTCTATACTTGTTTCAGCCACAGGATTAAAGATACAATATGCATATCTCAATTTTTTAAAGAAAAGGCAATGTGACGGAGGAGGGTGTGCTGCAGATTTGGAGCCAGAAGTTTTGGTTTTCAGCCTCAGTTCCGATAATCACCAACAAAGCTGTCACAGGCTAACGATCTCACATCTGAGCTTTAGCCAATCCCCGTCACCACTACCATTATCATTCCCACCTTACGGATTAGGAAATTCATGCCATTTCCCTGATCATTGTGAGATCCAGACACAATCCTGTCTTTGAAAGTGTTTTATTATTATCACATGAGACCGTGATTTGTTCTACCAGGAAGAGGCTCCACTTTCCATTGTCTGCACTTCAATATGTATCAAGAGTCTTAGAATATTCACGCCTGATGAATGAGATGGACTAAGGATGCTGGGCCCATGGGAGTCCATCATACTGTTCCCTCTGCTTTTGCATATGCTTAAGTTTTCTGTAATAAATGGGTTTTACTATTTTTGGTTTTTGAGACACAGTCTTACTCTGTTGCCCAGGCTAGAGTACAGTCACATCATCATAGCTCACGGCAACCTCAAACTCCTGGGCTCAAGCAATCCTCCCACCTCAGCCTCCCAAGTACCTGGGACTACAGGTGCAACTAATTTTTTTATTTTTTGTAGAGATGGAGTCTTCGCTCTGGTTCAGGCTGGTCTTGAACTCCTGGCCTTAAGTTATCCTCCTTCCTCATCCCCCCAAAGTGCTAGGATTACAGGTATCAGCCACCGTACCCAGCCTCCATGATAAAGTTTTTCTCAACTTTTTATAACTAGTTGATTCATTACTTTTTACTCCCCTTCTCAAGCTGTAGAATATTTTCACAGTTCTATGACCTTTTTGGTTTTCCATTTTTATAGCCCAGTGCTGACTGACAGGTTTTTCTCTGGAGAGTCAGGTCAGGCCCTGCCCAGGTCTTTCCTAGTGGGATGCCCCAGACCTGCCCCAAAGACAGACTGGCAATTCAGGGGTCTCCTCTGAGAAACAGGAAGGGGGCTGCCTGGAGGCGGGGATGGTAGACACGGAGCTGTGTATCTCTTCCTGTTGGGCAGGAAGACTGATCCTTTCCTCCCCCTGGTGCTACCATCACAGGAGTCCCCAAACCAGGTTCTCCAACCCGTCTACGTGCAGGGTGTGGGCATCAGAAGTTCCTCTCTCTTTTCATTCATTGCTCCCAGACCAGAGCCATTCTGACTCTTGCTCCTTTTATTCGCCACCTGCCCTCTGTTTTTTTTTTTTTTGTTAAAGTTTTCAAAATCTTATCACTATTTCTAAAGTTTCACAATGATATGCTCTGAGTTGGCTAACTTGTCATTCCTTTTGCTGGGCAATTAGCATGTCATTTTAATCTGAAGACTTCCGTCCCTCAGCTATGGGAGATTTTCTTTCCTTCTTTTTGTTTTTTGTCACCCTGTTGCCTAGTCTGGACTGCAGTGGTGTGATCACAGCTCACTGCAACCTCAAACTCCTGGGCCAGATTTTCTTGTACTATTTTTTTTTCTTTACAATTTCCCTCCCCCCATTTTCCCTGTCCTCTCAGGAACTCTTATCAGTCAGATGCTGAACCTTTGGGATTAATCCCCATGTCTTTTCTTTCACATTTTTGGTATTTGTGCTTTTTTTTTTTTTTTGAGTCTTGCTTTGTTGCCCAGGCTAGAGCAAGTACCATGGCGTCAGCCTAGCTCACAGCAACCTCAAACTCCTGGGCTCAAGCAATCCTCCTGCCTCAGCCTCCCAAGTAGCTGGGACTACAGGCATGCGCCACCATGCCTGGCTAATTTTTTCTATATATATTAGTTGACCAATTAATTTCTTTCTATTTTTAGTAGAGACAGGGTCTCACTCTTTCTCAGGCTGGTTTCGAACTCCTGACCTCGTGGCAATCCGCCCGCCTTGGCCTCCCAGAGTGCTAGGATTACAGGCGTGAGCCACCGCACCCAGCCGATACTTGTACATTTTTGTTCTATTTTTCCAACTACTCTTGTCTTACTTTAAGATTTCCTCAACCTCATCTTCCAACTTTACTATTCAATTTTATTTCAGCAATCATATTCTAACTTCCAAGAGCTCTAATTTAATTATCTATTCTTTTTACGGAGCATCCTGTTCTTGTTTAGGAGATCTTATATCAACTTGAACTCTCGGAGAACACTGATAAGAATTTCTTCCCAAACTTTTTTTTTCCTTTAATATATTCCTTCGTATATTTAGTTCACCATGTGTTCTATTTATACATCCATGATGTCAGTCCACATGTCTGATCCCACCTACCCAGGAAGAAGGAAACTTGCACCACGTGCAAGTAGGCAACATCCCTCTACTTTTTGGTAACTACTATTACAAAGATGGGATGTAAGTGCAAGAGAGCAAGCCAGCTTACCTTCATGGAGTCGGAGTATAAAATATATTCCCTGAGCACAGGTAGAAAGTCTTCAGTCATGTCATCTGTCAGCTCTTCCAAGGCTGTTGAGCAGTTGCCAATGCAACCCGACACGCCCTCCAGGGGCTCGGCCAGCTCTCCCTCCAAGGCGCTCCATGTAGAGTACACAGGCCCGTATTCTCTCAGCTCCACAAGGTACTCTAAACGGGGAAGAGAAACCAATTAAAATCTGCCTGGGCAGCAATCACTGGTATTACTGACTCCATAATATCCACCGCCAAGAGCTCTCTATGTTACATTGTGTTTCCTTGGGTGTTCACTCAGCTGAGCACACTCTTCTTTAAACATACCACTGTTGCTAACATGATTTAAAAAATTTTAAAACCACTAAAAGCTGATGTTACCACTGACATCAGAACGTCAATCCATTCCGCCCCATAATGGGAAGGCCACGCCTCTGGATAACACACACCACAATGCCTTGTGGGGACAAGTGGCAGGAGCCACACACACCAAACAGCTTCCGAAGTGACCACTCACCTACCCCATACTGTGAAGCACTATTTTCATAGGCAATGGGGGTAGAGTTTCACATAGGTTTGGGGAGATGTTTTTAAAGGACAAAAAAATCAGCAGCAATGGATTTTTAGGAAACATTTTGACACAGGAGATGCAGTCTTACACCGACAGACTCGCTCTCCCACTCAGTGGTCAGCCCAACACCTTGGTCCCACCAGAATTTACTCCACACAATCCCCAGATGCAGACGGTGCTCAAAAGCCATCTCTAAAACCTATGGGCCCCATATGCCCATCAGTGGATGAAGGAAAGGGAGCAAGAACATGCAACAAAGAAAAATGTTGGGTTTTTTGCCCCCTACAAAGAAAACCTGGTCCATCACCATTTATCACCAGGATTCTTGCCATTACAACAGAAAGTCGTTGCCCGTGTTTAGTCACCACTAAATGGCAGCTGCTGGAGAAGCCTTTCCAAGGTGTCTCGTGTGCCAACATGATCATTAATATTGTTTGGGTCTGTCCAGCCTACACATATGTAAGGACACGAAATACCCCAACATTCTGGGACGTGGCCATGATAGGGAGGGAAAGAAGTGGTGACTACAACCAGCAAGGATAGGCACAGGCCCCGGCAACTCCCCAGCTCAGGACTGGGTTTGAAATGAACCAGGGGTGGGGCGGGTGAGTCAACTTCAAGTCTAAAGCCTCTTTAGGGTCATAACCTTGGCAAACACAGGTCACCACGCTGCCCTTCTGAACCATCGTTCTGCCAGAAAAGACATTTAAATTTTTTAAAATTACAATCCCTATGAATGAAGGGCAGCTGAGTCCATGTCTCTGCTTTTAAAGCTAAAGTTGAGAGAGACAAAGGAGGAAAGGCCTGGAGTGGTTGTTTTCCGTGGGAAAAGCAAACACAAGGCTGGCATGCAGGACCAAGGATGGAGTGCAAAATTACATTCTAGTCATAGCCAACTCCTCCTGCCTTGTATTTATTTGTTTTACCAGTAAAACATGGCCCAGATCTGTCACTCCAACGTTTCTGCGGTCTGATTCTGCTTAGCACACATGAACGCCATTTCTGCCACCGTGGTCGCTGGGCATAATCGAGATCTCTTGCTCACCTATTTCTTCCTTGATGATCCGCTGGGCTATTCGATCAATGGTCCCCAGTTTGAGAGCGAACGTGTCTAAGTAATCGCCAATGGCTGCAAACTCGAGAGGCCGAGTCCTCAGCTTGTAGCCGCCAGTGACGTGCTTGACCGACTCGCCCACTCTGGTCAGTAACGCCATCCCCTGCTTCTTGTAGGCGTTCAGGTCCTGAGGGTGACACATGAACAGACCCAAAAGGCTCACTCACTCACACGGCCAGGAACCAACTCCTAAAGGCAGCTTCCATTTGGAGACGGAGGACTTAGAGAACTTAGGAGCTGAGTTAGGGGAGCTAAGCTCATACACACAAGGCTCCCCTGCTTGACACTGTAACCACCAGACCACACTGCCGTCTGTTTACACCCAGATCCCTCTCAACAGAGCCGGACTCTGATCCTTTCATTGGGCTCACTCACCTGAGCACCTTTAAACATGACACTGTTTCTGACATAATTCTTTAAACCTCTGTCTAAAAAAGTATCCCTTTCTGCCATACAAATCACCCTGTGTTGTCTTTAGGAGCAAAACCGAAGAGCTGAGGTTCAGATATATATCAACTCATTTATTGATATTTATACCCCAACTAAAGCCATCTAAGGAGAGTTGAGGGTGGAAGGCAGGGAACAGCAACAGAAAAAGCACTGCTAGAAAACTCAGGCCAAGGACAGATGCTGTAAACAACAAAACATTTTAACCCTGAATTTCTTGTAGGTCAAGGCAAAAATGGGAAATATGTTAAGTTCCATAACCCACCGTACCTAACTTAAAAGCATATTAGCCTGCCAGGTAAAACAAACTTCTTGCTGTCATTAAACCCTAAGGGGAGTCTACAATATGTCCACATAGTCCTTTGTCACTTACTGAAATGGCACCTTCAAAAATGGTTTCACAGAAGATGCAAGTGTCTGTTCCTCCTATCCACCCTCAATACAAACAGAATGTTATTAATCACAAGGAGCCTACATTTCAGATGTAATAATTCCCAGCCCTAGAGGGCCATGTCTGCAGGGAGGTAAGGGAACTTGGAACAAGGCTATAGTTTTCTGGTGACCTGGGCTGAACAGTCATGGAGCAGAGAACATGGGATTCGTGGCTAACGCAGCTGCCCAACAGCCCCTGCTCGCTTTACACACTCTCTCAGGCTGAGGTCGCCACAGTATCTGAAAGGCAGGCTCCTCGTGATTTCACTCCATTCTTCATGCAGCCCGGGCCTTCATTTCTGCCCTGTTCCACCCTTTCGTCTCCACTCTTCCACCCAGCCAAGGCCCTTGCCCTATCAATCGTCCCCTCTCCTGTCTGTACCTTCAACTTCTAACCCTTCAGCAGGTGAGATACACCTAAGGCTCACTCATCTTAAAACAGCGGCCATCCCCTCTGGCCACCTCCATCTCTCTCCTTCCCTTTGGAGTCAGGCTGCCTATGAGAATGTCCTAGAGATTCCACCACCCCCGCTGACCTCCCACGCTCTAGCCAAGAAACATTCCTCAAAGGCACCAGGCCTGCATAAGACCGTAACTGAAACCTCAGAGTTCTTGGAATTGCTTCCGCAGACTGCATTTTTTTAGTGTGGGGCTACATTCAGTCTGGTTCACGGGACTGTGTAAGCTCTTGCAGAGCTTTGAAAGGGTGTCACCAGTTAATCAAGTTCATTAACATGTTGAATAAAGTCATTTGTCAGTACCTATTTGATTGCTGCACCCATCCTGCCAAAGAGGAACAGACTGATTTGAACACACTTGATATTGACCTTGCTCCACTTCTCCCAGCATTACTGGCTTTTTCTTAAGGACGCTGCCAGTTTGTGATAAGCTCACATCACCATGAGGGAAATGAAAAGCATCTCTGCGTTCCCTGTGGCAGAGCACGTAAGTGGCTTCTTGAAGAGCAAGAACAAGGTATCCAAGGTATGTCAAAGAAAAAGATGGGGGAGCCGGAGGAGGGGAATAGGGAGCTGTTGTTTAATGGGTATAGATTTTCAGATTTGCAAGATGAAAAAGTTCTGGAGATCAGTTGCACAACAATGTGAATGTACTTAACACACTACTGAACTGTACACTTAGAAATGGTTAAGATGGTAAATTTTACATTATGTGTACTTTATCACAATTTAAAAGTTTTTTTTTCAAAAAAGATAGGGCTATTTAGCACATTTAGTTCAGCAAGTAATACTGAACTAGGATCTGTTCTGTTTGAAGTCACCTCTTCTGTATTCACTCACATGACATCAGATTTTGATTTAGACACTGAAAGACCTTCTGTATTGATAAGAAGCATTTTCATACTGCTTGGCCCACAGATAAATTAATCTCTCTCACACACTCACACTCTCTCTCCTACTGGTTCTTCATACAGATTCCTAATGACCAGAGGTCCAAGCTTTTCCCCCCTTTTCTTCTTTGTTTAGTAAGATGACTGGGCTTGAGGGCTTTCTGGACAATGAACATTGGGCAAGAAAGTGAGCTCCCCTTTTGGAGAACAGGATGGATTTTACTTTAAGGTGAAAGAACTATACCTGACGATTAGTTCACCAGGAAATACTTATTTTTAAAAATATTCAAGTTCAACTTGTGGAGGAAAAAGCCTCCAGGAAAAAGAGACAGTGAATGGAAAGTCATCAATAAGGCTAAATGCCAACCAAGGTCATAAAACAAAACTAAAGCATTTTGCCATGTGGTTTCCACTGAGTACAGAATGGCACCCTCTCTAAAGCCTTTAACATCGACTGATGTTATCTGTAAATATCTCTCAATTTTGCAATTGTGAAAAAGAAAACTAGAAAGCATCTGGGCCTCAATACCCTTACCAACATGGAGCATATTACCTATGGCCTGAACATGGAAACATGATAACCTGAAACCAAACAGATGGGGCTGGAAGCAGCTAGCAGGAGAGTCTGAGCACATGACCCCATTTCTGCAGACAAGGAGAGTGGAGCACCTCAGGTTTTCTGGCCAATTCTGCCAAGAGGGAAGTGCAAAGAAAAGCTGATGAACAATCAACTTGAGTTTGAATTCATAGAATCTGGCAACTGTGTAGGACCCAAATGTCTTCCAAGTGCTTAGAAAATGCCCACCTGGTAAGAACAAGGCTAAAGGCAAGTAAGGGTCAGGAAGTCTGATCCAGGGGGAAAGTGTGCCCTCAGGAGCCACAAAAACTCAATTTCAAATCCTAGTGATGCCACTTGAACAAGTATAAATTTCCTGAACTCCAGTTTCCTTGTCTGTAAAATGAGCCTATGAATAATCACCTAGAGGGCTCTTGTGAAGAACAAACACCCTTACCAAACAATAAATGTTTGTTCCCTTCCGTGCCCACTGTTGGTCAGACTGGCCTCACCCAATAATACTGCCAAGAAGTGTTTAAGGAAACACTTTTCTCTGCCTTTGGCAAGTGAAAATATTCTAACTTTCTCTGCTGCTGCAAGGGGTGGTGGGGATGTGGGAGGGATCTCTTGAATTCTAACACAAAAACCACGCTAGGTGTAAATGGGCACCAAAAAATAGAGCAATTCTATGACACCTGCTATAGTGGACTATTGCTGAAGGTGGCTTGTGAGAGATCAAAACAGCTTTTAAGAAAGAGTCCCAAGAATGATAATTTGGGGGAAGGGTATGCAAAATTCTGTACTTACCTTAGCAGTAAGGAAAACGTTAAAGTGCTCATTGAAGGAGAGCACAGGATGATCCGTGATTCTTTTTAGGAATTTATCCAGAGCTTTTCTTCTGGTCTCCACAAACTCTTCTGAAAAACGATCCACAACACCTTTCACCACAAACTTCTCAGGAAGCGGCTACGAAGACATGAAGAAAAAAATCAGAGTAATTGATGAGATGATGCAGGGACAATCAACCAGGCTAGCAAACAGTTCCTATTACCTGTGTGTCCAAGAACAGTATTTCTTGATCAGTCAGATCTTTATATAGTCAGCAATATAGTGATTTCCAAAAAATACAGTTGCAGTAAGTCACTACTACCCTGTCGATTTTATAATGCAAGGAATAAAACACTATAGCATAGTGCCTAAAATACAGAAAAGTCAACATTTAGTATAGTTGTCTTTATATTGCTTGATGTAAAAAGGGCTGTCCGGAAAGTATCTAGCCATTGTTAATATAATGAAAACAGTTACATAGCTGGATACTTTCCAGACAGCCTCTGTATACATGATATACTGGGAAAGTTATGGCAAGAAAAGAAAGATAGTCTAAGGGAAGGAGGCAGAACACATCAACCACACAGAAATTTATTTAACTATCTTAAGATTTTACTCCCAGTTCAAGGGGTAAAAGAATTTGGTGAATGAAGAAATAAGAACATTAGGCAAATTCATTTATCTAAAAAATGCCTTTTCTAAGCCGATTTTTTTGTTCAGGTTTATACTGAAAAATTCCTTAAAATATAATTTCCCCTATTCCCCTTTCTCAAATTTCTCCATCATGCTTACTTTGAACAGATATCATGGACAATTTAAAACTGCCTTTCTACCAAGGGATTTTTGAGCTTTAACTTATTTTCATAGTAGCTTGATCAAATGTTTGATTAAAAGGCCTTCCACCTTACTAAAACCACAGGCAAAGAGAGTATCTTCTATGCATAATTGTTAAATATTTGAATTGTGAAATATTAAAAGAAAGTTTACATTAAAAAGGAGCAAACGATCTGATAGATATTTCTCCAAATAATATATACAAATGGCCAAACAAGCACATGAAAAGATGCTCAACATCATTAATCATTAGGGAAGTACAAACCAAAATAATAATGATACACCACTGGGATGGTCATCATTTTAAAAAAGACCAAGTGTTGGTGAGGATGTGGAGAAACTGGAACCCTTACACATCACCGGTAGGAATATAAAATGCACAGCCATTCTGGAAAACGCTTTGGTGGTTCCTCAATAAGTTAAATATAGAATTATCATGTGACTTAGCAATTCTGTTCATAGATACATGACCAAAAGAACTGAAATCAGGTGCTCAAACAAAAACTTATACACAAATGGTCATAGCAGCCGTATTCACAGTGGCCAAAATGTAGAAATAATCCAATGTCCATGGACAGGTGAATGGATAAGCAAAATGTGGTATATCCATTACATACAAATGAATTAAGTACTGAAACATGCTACATCGTGGACAAACCCTGAAAACATATGGTAAGTGAAGTCAAATATAAAAGGCCATATATTATATGATTGCATTTATACAAAATGTGTAGAATAGGCAAATCGACAGAGACAGAAAGCAGAGTAATAGTTGCCAAGGGTTGGAGGTGGGGGCGGAAATTAGAAGTGACTACTTCATGGGTACAAAGTTTTCTTTCTTCCGGGGTGATAAAAAAACTTCTGAAACTCTTCAGGAGGTGGTAATAGTTGCACAACATCCTGAATGTACTTGATGCCAATGAACTGTAGACTTTTATGGTCAAATGGTAAATTTTATGCTTTTTACACAATAAGAACATATTACATATCTCCAAGTCATAAAGCATAACAATAATGCCAGCACCCATGCATTTACCACACTACTCGACAACAGAACAGCACTACTGACAAAGCGCCCTGCCAGCGGATCCCTGATCAGATCTCCACTCTTCCCCACCCTGCAGGAGGGAACCACAAGCCTCAACTTTCGGTTCATTGCTCCCTGTACTTTACAGTTTTAAAATAATGCATTGTTTGTTGAACTTGCTTTTGAACTTCATGAAAAACAGAACTACAGTGATGCATCACTTAACAACAAGGAAATACTCTGAGAAATGTGTCCCTAGGCAATTTCATCACTGTGCAGATATCATAGAGAGTACTTGACAAGCTATAGCCTACTACTCACCTAGGCTACATGGGACAGCCTACGGCTCCTGGGTCACTGACCTGTACCACGTTAGTGTACTGAATACTGTAGGCAACTGTAACACAACAGTAAGTATTTGTGTATCTAAACATATAAGAGGTACAATAAAAATACAGTATTATAATCTTATACAAGGTCCATTGTTGACTGAAGCAATATTGTGTGGCGCGTGCCTGTATACTTTTGTCACTCAACACTAGCTTTCTGATTGAGCTTTCTCAACACTTATCCACACTGATACATATTAAACTATAGGAGAATCATTTTACTGCTCCATAGTCTCACATTATATAACTGACCAGATGACAATGTGTCCCTCTACTCTCCTGACCATGTACACATGTGAATGGTTTGCAGATCTGTGACACTACTAACAATACTGCCATGAACACTCTTGCAGGTGCACATATGCAAGTCTCTTTATGGAATAAACCAAGGTGAGGATGGCCAAGTAGGCCTACCAAGGCAATCACGTTTTTCCTTTAATATATTAAGGAGTAAATAAATATATTTTCTAATGTTAAACCAACCTAGTAGTTCAAGTTCAAAGTAGCAGGAGATTAAACAAACACAAGCATTTAAGTCCACAGCCTCCTCAACCCTCAAAATATAGCACCAAAGAGAGTTATTTTCCTTTTAAGTTATAAACTCTGAAGGACAAAATAAACCAGAAATAAGACATAGCAACAAAGACTAGTGGACTTAGCCAACCCAAAAATGCGAAATACTAAGCCACATAGAGTAGGAAAACCAAGAAGGAACCTAGATATACAGCACAAAACCTTTAAAAGATTGAGGAATTGGAACCATTAGCACCCCTAGAAATGAAGTACCTGGGATATGAGGGAATTCAACAGCCTCAACTCGAAAGACCTTTAGAAAGTTGGCATGTTTTAGTTCTCAGGAGTAAAGGTTCTGATGCCATGCTCCCTGGGTTTATCCCTCACCTCTGCCACCTACTAGCTGTTTGCCTTTGGTCAAGTTTTATAATCTCCTGGTACCTTGTTTTCCTCATCTTTAAAAAATAGATAATAGCACCGACGTCATGGGGTTTTGTGAGGATTCAATTAGCTAATAAGCTGCAAGTGCTTTGAATGATCCCTACCACAGAGTTTAGCACTAGAAAGTCTGGGTGTTTTTGCTATAACACTTGCAGCCGCTTCGTGAGACTTCCAATCTTCAAGGACATTTGGTGTTCATTTAAACCTTGAGACGGTGGGAGTGTTCAGAGAAGAGGCTGGAAAACTGGGGGATTTCTTTATAACAGACCAGGAGTTCTCAAGGGCATCGTGGAAAGGTTTGGAAATGAAAGAAGAAAGAGGAACAGAGTCAGGAATAAAATCACAGAGGCAAGTCTGACACCCAGTGGAACTTACGCTGGAGTAGAATATTAGCAATGTGACACTGGGGCAGATACACAGGTCACCCAGCCAAACGTTCTGGTCCAGTCAAAAGCACCAGAGACGCTTTCTTAAGAGGGTATAGATGTCACTTAGGATAATTCCTTTATTCTGGTCAGTTCTCTCCCATTCCTTTAGGCAGCCATTCTCACACCCCAACTTTTCATGTTAAGCAGATTACCATCTACCAGGTGTAAGAACAGCATATGGAAGTTCCCTGACCATTTTGCTTCCTCCATAGAAGCCCATCTATTGTGCATCCTCCTCACCTCATTCAGCAGGTCCCTGTGGACAATATACCTCTCCCAAAGCTAACTATTTCATCTGTGTCCTTGTTCACTATGGTGCACCTGTCATCAACTAATTATATCTTCTCTTCCCTGTATCTTCACCATCTCCCCTGCTTATCCAGCTGCATGCCCAGAATCTACAAAAATATGGTTTTTCTACCTGAAAATAATGAATCCAACCACCCCTTGACCTTACAATCTTCTCCACTCTCCTTCCTGGCTCATTCAACCTTTTTGAAAGGAGTCATTTATCTTGACTTCCACTCTTTCCATTGATTTCTCAACTCCCTACCCCTCCCCCACCCCTACCCCCCAAAACTGGCTTTGGTACTGCCCTTTAATGCTACGTTTCCCTGCCCCATCCACACCCAATGCAGAAACCACTCCTTTAAAGATGATCACCAAGGACTTTCTAATAGCCAAATCCAGTGGGTAATTTTGCTCTTATCTCATGAGTTCCACATACTCTCATTTGCTTCTACCAAACAGGACTTGGGAGGAAGACCTAGCAAGCAAGCAAGCTGTTAGGTGTGCTCCATTGAACATAGCCAATGAGCTCCTGAAACAGTTGTTCATTCTTCAGACTTAGTACATTGAACACATGTATTGAATTGGGGGAACCTGCTATTTAAAGGAACCGTGGGGTGAATCCTTCTGCAGAGAGAATTTCCTTCTGTAAAAAAGATGATTCCCAAATGTACATGGTTTCAGAAATTTGTTTCTTCCTATCTCAATCTTCCTTAATGGGACACACCTACTCTCAGTCTCACCTTTAGGACGTTTATGCAGAGGCATCTGGATTGCTGGTGAAATCAAGTGCATCTAGTCTGTAAATGAGATCATGCAAATGAAAAGTTCAACACAGCTGTAAGCACAGAGTAGATGTCTAATGAACGCCAGGTATTTTTATTAATTTTTAAACACTGAAAACAGAAAGAAAAAAAAAAAAAGGAGTGGACCACAAAGTAGAACTTCCACTTATCTTTTAGACGAAAATGTTAAAAAAATATATATATATATCATTTGGAATACCACTTCACACTCAGTAGGATGGTTACTAGAAAAATGGAAAATAACAAGTGTTGGCAAATATGTGGAGAAATTGGATCCTCATACACTGCTGGTGAGAATATAAAATGGCACAGCTACTGTGGAAGCATCTGGCAGGTCCTCAAAAAATTTAAATATAGAATTATCATAGGATTCAGCAATTCCATTTCTTGGTGTCTGGCCAAGGTAACCGAA